CTCCTGACTTGAATAAAGGTGCTATATAAGTACAGGCCATTTACCATTTAAAACACATCCGCTTTGGGAGGAACTACAAAATAAAAGCTGTTAATCGCACGAGGAAAGTCAGTTTTGGAGTCTCACATTGCTAATATAGTCAGCAGGACAGACTCATGCAAAAACAATGAATAAAACATTAACTAAATATCACTAAATCAGTATTTATAGGTGCATAATTCAGTTCTCATTGTTGGTTTAACCCTCTCCTAGATTTATTGGCTAAGTTATTAAATGCATCATTTGCTTCATCCTGCTGATAGGAGAACCGGCTCAGCTCTGTTCTCTTTAGGAACAAGTTACTGTAAGAACTACAGTCTTCCATGTGGAAAAAAGAAATACTGTTGGCCCAGTTATTTTCTGTGGGGTTTTTTTGTGTCTATGTCATCCTCTCAAATCTTCAGCCTGTCATGACAGACAGAAACTGAGCCTGGTTCTGATTCCGCTAGTTTCTTCCTGTTAAAGGGGAGTTTTCCCGTGTTGCCACATGCATGCACAGTATGAGGCATTGCTGCAAAGTCAGCGACACAAAGCCAGCAACTTTGCTCCTCTAAGAGTGAATTCTACAACAGCAAGCATAGATTTGAAATCTGATTAGTTTGAAATTCCCTTTATTATCAATTGCCGGTCACAGGGTGCTGTGAATCGGTAGTTTTAGCCTGTGGACGGAGATGCTGAATGATTATTTTGCTTCTTTTTGTTTCTTCAGGTTTAAAAAGCCGCCGGCGGCATCAGAAGAAGAACTGCATTCAGTCTTGAGAAGAAAATCAGCCTTGCATGCAGACTGAATCTCCTGGTGCAGCAGCTGAGTCACAGCATGATTTAACTGTTACCAGGTGGAAACCACTTTATCAGCAGCAGGTGCTGAAAATGTTACTGAACTAAAGGTCAGCTAGAGATTCTTAGTAGCCAAAAAAGTGCCGTCAATGGCAGCTTGCCATCTGACACTTTTCTTGTTTTTTCTACATTTTGTATTAAATTATTTGACTATTCAGTGTTTTACTTAGTGTTTCACTTTAGCCTGAACAGCACATGGTGTATTACATCAAACTGGTTGCTATGGTGACTGGACAATTGATGGCTGTCTCTTCTCTCTTGGTTACAAAGTGTGTTGTACACACAAATGTACAAATTAAATGATGTCAGTCCTCAACAATTACAACTCTGATGTAGAACTTAAATAAAAAACAACGGCATCAGTAAAATGATGACCCAGGGAGCAAATATGTTTCTCACAGGAGATCAGGAGACAGTCAGCAATAATTGTTCTCTCTGTCTGTATGGGACGAATAAAAATCTTTGAATAAAATGTTTAACATGAGTGTGAAGAATTTAAACATTGAATGGATTTCTTTTAACTGAAGTTTTTTCTTGTTTTTGTGATTTTTACTGACCCTAATAAATCAATTCAATTATGTTTATTTATAAGGTGCCAATTTACAACACACATTTCTCTTTATCAGTT